ACCCACCGAGAAACCATTTGATAAGTTCTATTCATGTGTCTATGGGATTATCGGCGTATAGAGTAGTGTAATAGTCCTCCGACTTGAGGTCAATACGTACTACATGTGCGGAGTGATGTACTTTGACCATGACCAACGCTTGCACTCCAATCGGGGTAGATACGGCATGTGTTGGGTGCACCACGAAGCACATGGAGTAGTAGTTGAGCCAAGAAAGGATTCATTCCTCATAATAGATTAAGAGAGAACATTCTACTTCTCATATCTAGATGGATCATAAAGTCATTGGCCAATGCAAAGATATATTCGTTTTGGATATCGAATATGATCGTTATGGATCATCTAGAAAGATTGAGAGACAGAGACTGAGTTATTGGGATAGACACTATATCATATTCTAGACTTAGTTGAATGTTCGCTGAATGAAAGGACCGTATCACTATGAGCTCTATATTACAGGGAGTTTGTATAGTCCTCGCAAACGTCCTTATATATTAAGTTTGTCTGGAGAATCGTCTAGGGATTCGCTAAGACCTTAATTTGATTAGTGCTTAATATATAAGGCCCTATGGGTCACACAACAAGTGATTATACCTTCCGGTTGAATTGTTAGAAGGAATTAAATATTATTAATTGGATTAAATAATATTTAATTCGTAATACTGAAAATGAATTAAATATTAGTTAGATTAAACATATTTAATTCATGAAGCTGAAGGAGAGTTCTATTTGATAGAATTAATTAAGTAAGATAAATTAGATTTATCACACTTAAATAAGATGTATTTATTATTGAATAAAGTAGATATTTTCTTTTGTAATTTGAAATTAAAAGAAAAGTAAATAAAATAAATATTAATATATAATAATTAGAAAGTGGCGTGCAGCCACATCTCAATTATTATTATTATTATTTTGTTTTGTTTTATCTACTTATTTAATTAATTAGGAGTATTGGTCCTAGTAGGATTAGAACTCATTAATTAGAAAGACTTTCATTGTGATTGAGAAACTAGTTTCGAACTAGTATAAATACATCCTTCTCCTTCATAATTTGGAGACCAGTTTTCAGATTCAGTATTAACAGTTTATTTCCCTGCGAAGAGATTTCCTAGCCTTTCTCTTAGGGAGATCTGACCGTTCTTTCGGGAAGGAGAAATCACGTGGATACCAAAGGTCAAGGATTATCACCGCTAGGCTGGAAGATCTGTAAGTTCTAACTCAGATATGTCATTATTATCATATTCGTTATTTTGTCATAATCAGGGAAGATCTGTTTGGGAAAATTTTAAACTTCCGCTGCCGTACTTTCGAGGTACGTTACATCAATTTCCTAACATTTGCTACGTGCGATATTTTTGTCTCTCGGGATGTACAATTTCATGAAAGTGACTTTCCTTTTTCTGAGGTCGTGCATGGTGCGGATGAATCGGTTGTGGTTCCTACGACTCCTGTGCTTGATGATGTGTTCACTTCACCTCCACATGCTAGTTACACGGAGGTGTCAGACATTATTTCTACCACTGTCGAGGTTGCTTCTCCTTCGGCTGGCACATGGTAGGTCATCGAGGGTAACATTCCTCTTGGTCACGGCTTACGTGAGAAGCGCATGTCAGTCTTGCTTCGATATTTTATGACACACCATGTGAAGAATATGAGCCCATCTCCGTCTCCACCAGGCCCTCTCACTTTCTCAGGTACGTCCTATCCCATAGCTCATTTTATCACTCGTGATAAGTTTTCTCCGCGACACCACGCGTTTCTTGATGCTATCACTGCAGGAATGGAGCCTCGTTCATTTAGGTAAGCTATGACTGATTCTGGGTGGCGTAATGCCATGCAATCTGAAATTAAGGCTCTCGAGGATAATCACACCTGGGACATGCAACGGCTACCCCCGAGTAAAACGGCACTCGGGTGCAAATGGGTCTATAAAATTAAATATAATTCCAATGGTTCAGTGAAGCATCTTAAAGCTAGACTTGTGTTTGGGAATCATCGGGAGGAAGGCATCGATTATACAGAGACATTTGCTCCTGTAGCTAAGATGGTTATTGTACGGGTTGTTTTGGCAGTCGCAGCTGCCTGAAACTGGGAATTGCATCAAATGGATGTACATAACGCATTTCTTCATGGTGATTTCAGTGAGGAAGTTTATATGAAACTTCCATGCCAGCTAGATTTCGGCCTTCTCAGCCGGGTCTTGTTTGTCGTCTCAGAAAATCTCTTAATGGATTGCGTTAGGCTCCCCGATGTTGGTTTGCAAAACTTGCTAGTTCTCTTCGCAGATGGCTTTATTCAGTCATACTCCGATTACTCTTTATTTACTTTGTGTCACGATGTTGTTCGTTTGCATGTTCTTGTCTATGTCGATGATTTGATTATTGCAGGAAATGATTCAACGGCTATTTATGCTTTTAAACACTATTTGCACACCTACTTTCATATGAAAGATTTGGTTCATCTCAAGTATTTTCTTGGCATTGAAGTAGCACGCAATGCTGAGGGAATTTATTTATGTCAACGCAAATATGCGCTGGACATAGTATCTGAGGTAGGTCTTCTTGGTGCTAAATTCGCATCTTTTTCATATGGAGCAACATCAGAGTTTAACTATTGCTAATGGAGAACTCTTGGCTGATCCGGAACCATATAGGCGACTAGTCGGCCGTCTTATTTATCTCTCATTTACTTGTCCCGATGTGGCCTATGCAGTTCATATTCTCTCTCAGTTTATGCAGGCACCGCGACAGGATCATTGGCAGGCGGCACTTCGTGTGGTTCGTTATTTTAAGGGCTGCCCCAGACAAGGCATTCATCTAGCTTCCTCCTACGACTTACAACTTTCAGGATGGTGTGACTCTAATTGGGCCAGCTGTCCACTTACTCGACGCTCTCTATCTGGTTGGATTGTATTTTTTGGTAGCTCCCCCATCTTCTGGAAGACCAAGAAGCAACATACCGTGTCTAGATCCTCTGGCGAAGTTGAGTACAGGTCCATGACATCTATTACAGCTGAACTGAAGTGGCTTAAGGGCCTTCTTCTCAATCTTGGTGCTCTTCACTCTCGACCTATGTCTCTTATGTGTGATAGCAAGTCTGCTCTCCACATTGCACAGAACTCGGTAATTCATGAACGGACTAAGCATGTTGAAGTTGATTGTCACTATGTTCGTGATGCTTTACAAGATGGTTTGCTCACAACTCATCATGTCTCCACACATGATCACCTGGCGGATATATTCACCAAGGCTTTGGGGGAACAACAATTTCACTTTCTTCTTCGCAGCTTGGGCATTTATGATCTACATGCTCCAACTTGGGGGGTGTTGGACCAATTATGGAGGGGGGGGGGGGGGGGGGGGGGTAATTAGTTATTAATATTGTAGTTAGCTAATTAGCCTCTAATTTAATGTACATGGGCCGTGTGACGTAGGGCGAACATACATTGTATATATACTCTAATTCTTTTCAATGAAAGCATGAGATTAATTTCCAAATTATTTGAATCATTAATTTAATACTAAGTGTATATCATTATACACACGTTTTCTCACTTTATGATCTCATGCTAATGAACAACAAGAAACACTTTATTTATAGGATTTGTTAAATGTTGAATCCTTACACTTGAACCCGCCTATGAGATGCTTTTTGCCGCTTTTTAGATTATGGAATGAGTCCGAATGCCATTTGCTTTCATTAATTAATCACTACAAGAATATAGGAAAAATTGATTGCAATAATCCCAACTATTGGCGGTCCGCTCATAATAATCCCAACTATCGATTATTTCAGAATAATCCCAACTATTGGGACCTTCCGCCAATAATGGTCCGACGTGATCGACTATAAATAAATTCTTATAGTTTCTCAAGAGATATAGCAGGTAATCCCTATAAATATTCCCAAATTTTAATTTTTACGCTTAATTTCTTTAAAAAATTCACTTGTTAGAGCAGTTAATATGCGGCCATGGATCATTATTGGCGGACGGTCCATATAGTTGGGATTATACAAAAATAATCAATAGTTGGGATTATTGTTAGCGGACCGGCGATAGTTAAGATTATTATTTTCAAATTTCCAAGAATATACATCCACAATCATATTTACGGGCCAACTGAACCCTTATGCACATTGGGCCAGGCCTGAAGAGCTAAAAGTACGGAGTACAAAAGTAACGAACATGGGCCATGATCCAAATATGTTCTAATATGTCTATAATGAGTAATTGCCTATAGTATAAATAAAAAATAATGGATGAATAAATTTCAATTTTACGATGGTCACAAATTTCAATTGAAGCAGGGTTTTTGTTTCGGTTTAGCAATGTAAATGTCAATCGTACATCATAACAATTAAAGACTTGCTGAGTTCTATTCGAAAAAAGTCCATGCACATAATAAATACTAGTAATATAGAGATTGACAATTCGTAAGTTGAAATTATGTCCTTTGTAAAAAAGGTTGAAATTATGTCCTTTGTAAAAAAAGTTGAAATTATGTCCATGCTTAAGAAATTAACACATTTTCAAAATGGCAACTGTATATGTGATATGTCCATATAATTAATGTTGAGAATCTTACTGAAGAGGATGCTGGATACCCGGCTCAACACCGGATAATATCCGTCTCAACACTGGTTTAAAACAATCAACTCAGTTTTTTTAGAGCTCATTTGGTAGTATCAAAATCGACTGAATCGGTTGATTCTGCTGAAATTTATGAAATGCTGGCTACAGTGGCTGATTTGGCCGATTCTGCTGATTTATGGAAAAATTATATTCAAAATATATTTTATTAATAAAATAAATTAAAAATTACATGTTAAGAGTTAAAATGATCCTCTATAACAACTTCAACCAATACAGGCAGAAAAGTAACTCCAAGCTTACTTTTTCTTATTATTACAAAATTATGCGCACGAAATCAAAAATTACGTATTTGGTAAAAAAATTGACTAATAAGCCTGATAAGCCGAAAAAACGACCTTACCAAATTGCCTCTTAATCACAATTCTGAATTCACAACCTAGATAATTTTTAGCTTGACGAAATAGGTAAGTTTTGGAAGAGTTGGCCCGTTGGTCCAGTTCAGGTTCGACATTTTATCGTCATTGTGGTAGTTCTCACAGTTCCTCGTTCTTTTCCCCCATACATCCCTCGGCTGCGTGCTTTGGTCAACTCTTGCCAGAGCAATGACAATTAGGGTTTTCTCCATCTTTGTTCTTCTGCTTCTGTCCGCATCATTCCTTCAAGGTTAGCTTTCAGATCCATGTATAGGTTAAGCTCTTTTTTCTGTCATTAAATCCAATCTGTTCGTTTAGCTTGCAAGGAAAAGATTGCATTTCAATTGATACTTGTTTTAAGTCCTCTGATCTTTGAAAATGAGTCTTATTTGTCACGACCGGCTTGATTCGTCTAGATTTTGATGTCTATTTTTGTTCTTCAGTTTTTATTGATTTCGCTGATCTCACTTGTCATATGTACATTAGCTTTTATTTGTTCCTCTTTCCCCTATTTTAATTTAGCTGTACACGTTTTCTGAAGATCCTAATGAAAAGGTGGAATCCTTCTGCATGATCTTGCCGTATGTGTTTATCCGTTTCACAAATCCTATAATTTGTTGAAGGAACTTCTTTTAAGTAGAAATGAAAAGTATAATCAATTAGCTATGTTGCACGGAAACGCGAAAATCATGAGGAAACGAGAAACGGGAAATGTCAACTTTTCTCCAAAAAAGGCTTGTTTGGATTGTTTCTGTAGAGTTTCTGTTTCGTTTCCGAAACGGAAACGTACTCTTTCCCGAGAATTTCCGTGCTACATAGTCAATTAGTAAAAATCAATTACAGGTTGAAATGCTGTGGTGGTACTATGGTAGTCCTAAAAAGTTAATCTCCAAAACAAATACAAAAATGTCTATTGTTACTTATATGCATTTGAGAGTAGAAAATTGAATAACAATTTTTTTCAGCATTTGGGAGTATAAAATGGATTTCTGTTTTTTGTTTTTCTCCAGTTCTTTCAATTGGTTAGCATTTAACTAATGCTCATTTGGGCTAGACATCCTAAAGTCGATTTCTGCACTGTATCTTTTAGGCACCCAATGGCTTGAAAACTTATGTGGTTCTTAGATTTATTTGTTCCTTAGGTTGACTATGCTGTTGTTTTACTCTCTAATTTGAATGTAGAGTACTCAGATTCCCTTTGTCTCTTTTAATATTCTAATAGTTTGTTCCTTCACTTTTTAGTTGCTATATGTGACTCGGAAGTGGGAAAAGAAACATTGGAAAGTACTGAAGGAGATCATGGTATTGTTGAGGATGTCCAAGATTTTGGTGGTGGGACATACAGCCCAGCTCCCGGAGTGGAAACAGTTTATTATTTCCCTAAAAACCCTTCTAAATGTTAGCTTTTATCCTTTGTATAATATTTTCTGTTAATATGGCCAATCAACATGGTTTCTTTCTTGTGAAACACTCATGTTAAATATCTTATTTTTATTCACAGTTGTTCCTGCTGGGGAAGAGAGCGAACTTTTAGTTGGAATAAAGAATGACGGTACTGTTACTTGGCGCAGCTCTATACATTTTTCCTTTGCTTTTTGTAGGACCATTTTTGAAAGCATATTAAGTACTACCTCTGTCCCATAATTTACTTCCAAAATAAAGTGGCACGCGGATTAAGAAAGTAAGAATTGTGTGGTGGAGAGTTGTGCAGAGGAGAGAGAAATGTTGTGAACCATAAATTCTTTGCCAAAAAAGGAAAGAGAAGTTCTTTTTGGGACGGACGAAAAGGGAAAGTTGGAAGTATTTTCAGGGACGGAGGGAGTATCTCCTTATTATTGGCTCTTCTATGTGGTGGCTAAATGGACAAGGTTTCCCAAGTGCTCTCTTGTGTCTCATATTATTGGTGTTGAAAACATTCGAAGTAATTTTAGATAGTTTTCTCTTGCTGATTTAATTTCTTTTTTTTGTGCGTATTGATTCTGTTTTTTTGCCAAACCCCATTTTGAGACTATCTTAATTAATACTCCTTCTGTCCCTAAATTGAAATAACTAGAGGAAAATTAATTCCAATAACCCACACATTTTTCTTTTTCATCTGTTCCAAAATTAACTCCATTTCATGTCAAGGAAAGCATCACGTGATTCATTTTTTTCTTCTCCAGATAAAGTTCAAGCACACATGTTTCATTTTCTGATGGATTTCTTTTATTCACAGCCCGTGAGATATGCTAGCTATCTTCAATCAAGTGTTTTGAATCTTTTGATGATGACTATCAATATAGGTCCCGAGTGATAAAAAACTATCCATCTAAGAAATAAATTATCACGGATTTTGTTTTTTATTATTAAGTTTGATATCTATAAACTTGTTAAAAAATATTTTCCGTGAAGGTAAATTCATTGAAAATTAACATAAAAGTAACTTAAAATGATTGTATAAGCCTGAGATTAATAGTTTTCGGACATTTGGTTGGACCCTATAATGATAATTTTCATCTTTGAGGTCCTTGGGTCATATGTTGAAAAAGCTCCATTTCATATTCTCTGTGCTCGGTCAAAATGCGGGCTTATTTAACGGTGGGAGTATAAGCTTATCATGAGTTGTCCAAGTCTATAGTGTTTGTCATTGTACTGGTGTGTCTGCACATTGTTTAACTTTAAGATATTTTTGTCTGGCTTTTGGATGTTGTAAGCAGGGGAATCGTCTCTGAATGTTATTGTGATCCATGCTACTCTTCATCTTCCTTATGATCATCAATATGTGGTTCAGAATCTCTCTGTTCAGGTAATTATTGGCTCTTGGTAATATTATATGCATGCCTACATTAGATCCACTTAGTTTATAGAATTAATTTATGGTGGTGACTGGTTCACCCAAAAATGTACCATTTTCCGTGTAATGTGCAATCTAAGGATATTTGTCTGTTAGTTTGTTATAAGTGAAATTAGTTTTGTATAGTCAGCTCTTCAAGTACTAATGTATATGACTAGACTAGATGTTATAGTTTATTAAAAGTCCCTTGCTTAAAAATGAGGCAATAAGCTTCATTCTTTTTTCTTTGCATCTCGGCATCTCGCAGAGTTTTAACAATGCAACAGTTCCTCCTTCTGCTCAAGCAACATTCCCATACATATTTGATGTCAGCAAATTTTTGCAGGTCAGCTCGGTTGTTAAACAGTATATACCCTCAGTTGTTGTTCCCTTTTGTTTTGAGCAGTGTTTGTGTCTAATCATTGTAGTGAGTTTAATTCTTAACTATTGCAGCCCGGATCCTTTGATCTTGTTGCGAGCATTGTGTATGAGATAGACCAGAATCAGTACCAAAGCACATTCTATAATGGCACCATTGAAGTGATAGAGTCTGGAAGTACTCTCAGTGTAGAGTCTGTCTTCTTGTTTTTTCTTGGAGTTGGTATTCTTGGCCTTCTGGGGTTCTGGATTCATGGTCAGATCCAACGCCTCTCAAAGGTGATTACTATCTAGATTTCACCTCTACATCATTATTCTTTGTTGCACGAAAAGTCTAGGGAAAGGAAATAGAGGAAAACTTTGGCAGAAAAAAATGGTTCGAACTTGTTAAATTAATTTTAGGCATGTATTCAAACTTCTGCACATCTATACATTTCTATCATATAGAGTAATATCATCTTCAATGCCAAAATATGAACACCACACATGTCACATGAGAGAGATGAACAAATAAGAATTAACAGAATAGCCCTTTCCTTTTTCAACGGTGTTCTCTGTGTTTGGTATCTTTTCCTCTACAATATCAAACTCAAAATTTGGATGTAGACATTGTGGTTGGCATTGTCGATAAAAAGTAACAGAAGGCCATGAAGACAAAGATAGAGAAATCTCAATAAATACGTAGTATAATTTTACGTGTCTATCTCTCCCACGTCTGCACCTTGCACACCCCTGTTGCATCGGAGATGCTCTAAGGAATCTAAATACGTGTAAAGAATTAGTTCTAATCAACTTTTGTTTTCATTCATCTTTTCCCAAGTAAAACAAAAATATCATAGCAAATTCTTCTTTTCCCTACCATTTCCCAGGATGGCTTCTTAAGCTTACTGTTCTTTTATTATATTTCATGCACCCGATTTTCAGAAAAATAAGAGGGTTACAAAGGCAGCAAAGGTTGAAGTTGGAACTGCAACAAGGGATGCTCACATGGATGAGTGGCTGCAGGTTTGGATTCTTGCATTTCCACATCCTTAGTCTTTTCTTCCTGATTTGGTTTGTTGTTAGTTTCACTGTTTGTGTTTTTCTAAAAAACTTGTTAAAATACACGTTTTATTTGGAGTAGGCCATATAATACTCATACCATTCATGTCAAATGTATTTTATACGTTTAGAAATTAGATTTTAGCCCAACTTTAATTTTTTATAACTATTATTCTAGCACAATTTCATTCTATCTAAAATAACAAGCCCGACTGTAACTCTAATTCTTTCTGCAATTATTGATACATTTATTCTTCCAATAATTCACTTTTTGGGGGGTAGACCTTATATTTTGACAATTTAGTTGTTTCATTCATACCCCATAGCCAGGTATTTCAAGCTTCAACTTCCATCCTTATTCTTTATAAAAAAGGATACGAGTACTTTCTAATGTTCTCCAAAAAGTGATAAATAGTCTTGAACCCCAAATTTACCCACATCTTTTCTCTCTCCCATCAACTTCTGATCTGCTGCAAACCCATGTTGTCGCTAACCAGTCGCCTCTACATCTGTTGAATTTTTTCTAGAAAACAATCGCCATTCACCGAAAACTTCTTTTGGCAGGGATTATGAAATAACTAAAAGTGACAAATTGATCATTTTATTGAATAAAAGTAGTCACACTTTTGTCTCTAGTTATTCCTGTAGTAATCTTTATGTTCAACCCATATTTTTTAAATCCATTTAAGAACCTCCATTGTCATATATATTTGTCATTGATAGATTGTTTATCTATATGGTTAAATTTCTAGATCTTAGTATTTCAGACATATTCAATTAGCCGACTGCCCTATCAGCTTTGTCTTGTGAGTTATTTATAACTATAAACATATCTTTGTTCGGCAAAGAAGCTAAATCTTAGATTATTGGAGAAATGTCAAATGTTCAACTTATCATTATTTCTATTAATATGTATATATATTTGTGTGCTTATAAAGGTAATTTTTATGATTACTCAAATTACCATGAGAACATTTTATCATGAGAACTAACTTCAAGCTGTCAGTTTTCTTTCATTCAGTGGCTGGCACTAATAAGGCGCCATTTTGCAATTATTGTAACTTTTATCCGGCATTTTTGCAAAAGTTATATGAAATGTTTTTTAAAGGGACGTTTGAACAAATACTTGTCCCCATCCGTTTTCTGAACATATGGCATGTTTCTGACTTTCTGTATTTAGTAAAAAAGCACAAGTGTTGTACATGTACTTTAGTACATATATGTTGACTTATGATTCACAATGGTTTAAATTATAATAGTAACAAAGGTTCCAACTGATTCTCTTCCAGATATGTTTCGTGTTCATATCTTGAAAGGAGTTGTAACAATAACAATAATGTTTAATATAGCCATTCTGAATAATGGAACACGACATTGATTCGCTTTTCAGGGGACGTCATTTGCCCAGTCACAATCCAAATCAAAGAAGAAGAATTAAATAATGAGCTATTTTGATTAGTTTGGTGTGCTGCAATCTGAAGAGGAACTTTCCATGTTAGGCATTTGAATTTTCAGGAAAAGCTGAAAACCAGGCAGGGATGGTTAATTAATTAGCACTTACGTTTCAACACCCCACCCCACATCCGTGTATTGTAGCTGTAGAACTTCTAAATTTTACCCATGTTTTTACTGTTAAACTCACTTGACCTGAGTTAGGGAAAGATGTATTTCAGAATTCTTCATTTTATTATTTCAGTTTCATCTGGTCTTTTTTTGCTTGCTATGCCCCTGTTAATTGGGTTTTCTTGCTTCTTTCCCGGTGTGTATGGTGAGGAAAAAGAAAAAGAAAATCTGTGTCACGTCACATGATACACAATGTTTCATGGATGCTAATGTAGTTCTGCATTCCTTACGCATTTCTATATTAGTCATTTTTGACTTGTTAATTGAATTGCATACACTCATACCTCACTCACATAGTCATCTCATGCGGTAACTCAATTCCCTTGTGCTTTTGACAAGAAGGCATTGCTTTTGAGAAATATATAAATAAATATGTGATATCTACTATCTAGTGTTGGATATGTACGGCGTAACGGCGGTATGGGTTCTAGAGCTGAACCAGATCCGGGTTGATCCAAATTTTAATGACAAGCTGAACTGATCAATCGGTCGTGAACTTGAACTGGTACTGGTATCTGGTTATAAGTCGGTTGGGTTTTAGTTCCTCCGAAACAGGATTTGGCTGATTGGTTCCAATTCTGATAACGTTTTTTAACAGGTTATGAAACCAGGTATGAATCAAATCGAGTCTAGACCTAAGTTTTGGTTACAGTTCTTACCCTAAAGGCGTTCGGAATGTCATGACCTTTTAGTCTTGTCATGAAAGCCTGGAGTTTTTTGGTCTCATAATAATATCTTTGTATTGATAAATTGTGTACTACTCCGTATTTAAAATGTACTCTGCACTCAAATAGTCAAATAACAGTCAGTCAGGGTGTAAAAGAAGCATAATAAGAGAGTGATTTGGTGAAAACCATATACTTGGTAGTCATGTTAATCCCTCCTTTGAGTTCAAATAGTGTCAAAGAAAACGTAATTAAGATGATATGGTACCACTAATTATTTTGTATATTTCCAATCACAAATTTGTTGCAGTATGTGCATGTGGAATTAATGTAAAAGCACACTTCATCGGGTAAGCATCACTTTCAATCCACTGCGTTTTCACATCAAATTGTGCTGTTATCCGCTGTTTACCATGACAGCTACTACACATCAACTACAATAAATCGGTAAACATAAATGTATACTTAAATTGCTAACATATATAGAAAAAACAAAACCGACAATAAGAAATACATGATTTATTGTTCGTGAAAATATATGAATAGACCGATGAGCTAACAATTACTTACCCTCATTTATTCCTTGGATATGAATATGTGAAGTGACAAAGTGCAGTGCGTGTTGTGCATTTCTGCATCGACAAATTCGAATGGTACAGACCTTATAAATCTGTGCAGTTGTCAGATGGGCAGAGTTGCAATTTACTAACAACAAGGCACCTCATGAGAACAAAGTTTTTCAGTGTAGACACTTACCCTTTATATACATGTTATCGGTCACACACAATTGGTGTATTGGCATACTAAACTTGCATATCTACTAGGATATAGGTAGTATGCGAACATGGACTAGTTTGGTGACCTGTCGATTTATCATGTATATCAGTAAACTTTTTCATCAAACGCGTAATTTTTTATTTTGCGCGCTCAAGTATGTAATAATAGGAAAAAGTAATGTTGGAGTAACTTTTCTGGCTGTTTTCGATGAATTTACTGTAGAAGACCATTTTAACTATTTTTCATATAGTTTTTTTCTTTAGTTTATTAATATAATATATTTGACATAATTATTTCATAAATCATCAGAATCAGCCAATACAGTCACTTCGATCAGAACTTCATAAATTTCATCAGAATCAACTGATTCAGTCGAATTTAGTATTACCAAACGAGCACATAATGATTGTTATGGTCTTACCACTCTTATATGTGCCCACAAACATTGATTTTTGTGCCAAAATATCTTGGCACAACTACAACTCTAATCCAAAATGGAAAAACCGTGCAAGGGCAATAACTCTAATCCAAATTATGTTTTTCTTTCAAAAAGTTCAAAATCAGGATAAAGGAGGAGGTCAGGAGGGTCTCGTGGTAGGCGCGTGACAACTAATAATATCATTTAGTCGCATCATATGAAATGAATCGGAATATGAATATTGTGGATGGTGAATATTTATGTGGAGAATTGATGTATTTCCATCTTTTTATCCTTTTATCTTTTTATCTTTTTATGGTCTTTATCATTTTAGCCTTTTTATCTTGGCTAAAGGGTCAAATAGGTCCTTGTACTCATATCAATAGCTCAATTGGGTACCCGAACTAAAAAAAGGTCCAATCCAATCCTCCAACTCTTCAAAATCGTTCAATTTTTTCGTTTTTTCAAAGGCTAAAGGGTCAAATAGGTCCTTGTACTCATATCAATAGCTCAATTGAGTACCAGGAGTTTACCTTCAATTGAACGATAAAGTTAGCCGACCCAAACTTTTTTTTATTTTTTTATCGCGTTAGCTCCAATCTCATGTGTCATTAAGTTAGCCGACCCAAACTTTTTTTAGACTAAAACTTGGATGTTGTTGTTGTAGAATTGTCTTTTTTTACTCCAGGGGGTCTGGGGGAGGGGGGCCTGGAGTAATCAGGGCTGAAACTCACTCCATTGAGTTTCAAACCCTTATCTTCCTAGCGGTTTTTGAACTCGAGACCTTCCACTAGGCACGGTAACCTCACAACTAGCTGCGCTGGAATGCTTGATTTGTATAATTGTCTTGATGAGTTGAAAACTAAACTTATAATCCAAAAATGTATATCGCTTTGACATTGTATAATCTATTTGCGGTTGACAACTAATTTGCACGGCTGCACGAGCTAAACAGAGTAGACCAGTGTCACGCCCGATAAACTAGACTCGATCGTCTAGGAATGGCAACGTGGCGGATTGGGGACGGGTACACATAAAACCGAAATCGCCCCGTTGGATAAATGTTTGCCCCAAAACCGCCCCATTACCCATTAAGGTAATTTTTATTTGAACCGTACCCACCCCAACGGGGAATCGGTTTATCCACGGGTACCCGTTTGCCCAAATGATACCAAATAACCAATTTGTAACCCTACTTGTTAATGTAAACATTCTTCGTAGTAAATTATATATTAAAGAATAAATTCCACTTTTGGTCATGCGAGTTTTAGGTCAATTCCACATATAGTCCACATTTTTCACTTTGTCCACTTTTGATACATGACTATTAGGTTTTCGCTGATATATGATCCTTCCAGCATTGTTTTCGATGCTTAAAATCACCGGAAATGGACCACAAACGGTTAGAAAATATTAGTCAAGTACCAAAAGTGGACAAAGTCAAAGACATGGACTAAATGTGAAAATAGCCCAAAACTCGTAGGACCAAAAGTGGAATTAATTTTATATTAAAAGCACCATAAAACATACAAAATTAAATGTTCAAGTAATCAAGCAATTTTAGTCCTAAATTCATTAGTATGACAAGCACCCAATATCTCTTGTAATATACGGAGTAATAAAAAAGTAGTAAGAAGAAGAAAGAAGGAATTGAGTCGAATTCTTGATAATGAGAAAGATTAGAAGCCATCGACGGTAGAGCCAAACTGCAGACCAAACATCGTTCCATCCGGAAGAATTGAATAGAGTTGTTCTCACTGTTAAGAAGCAGCGCCTTGAGCCATAAATCCTTAATACACTGAGTTAGGGATGTCAGAGTTTTTGAAGTGGGCCTCTGGTATATTATTCTTTATATACTTATATGAGATATACGATTTGGTGTACACAATTTAGCATATATACTTATTATTCTTATATATAAAAAGTTATAATTTCTTAATAATGTTACAGATTGAGTAATATAACGGTGTGGATACCCGCACCATTAGTGAACGGGGCGGTTTCGGGGCGGATAACGGGACGGATTAGTATAGAACCATAATCACACCATTATCCATTTAAAAAAATCGGGTATTCCCCGCCCCATACACGTTCCTCAGTCAAATCGGTTTTCCCCAGTTTGACCAAATCAGTTTGGTGCGGGTATCCAACGGATCGGTCGAAATTGACATCTGTAGTCGTGTCCATCCAGCCGTGCCCCACTTGAGAAAATTTCTTGTTAGGTCACCGGTGTTAGCCGAGACACGATGCTAGTGTCATCATCGTGCATGTCTGTTTTCAATGGTTTAGGCCCGAATGTTAATCGAAAGAGCATGTCAAGGTTCGTACTATTTTCAAAAACTAGACCATGTATTGAATCTGAGTCCTCGCAGTTCAATGTTTTTTTTTGGGAAAACTAGTTCAGTACCCGTGCATACACACGGGAAATAATCGATGGATACACTTGTAATCATGATCTAATTAATTAGAAAAGCAAATTAATTTTAAAAAATTGGGATAGTTCTTAAAAGCGAGTACAATAAGTCAATACCTAAATTAAGTTAATAAAATAAATATTAAAAGTTAAATATTAAACTTACATGTTAGAGATTTTGGAAAACATCTTTGAACACAACATTCATAGTAGTGTCTAATGATTTTCCATCCTTATCATGTATTAAAATTTTCAACAAAAATGATGTTTGTACACACTCTTATACACACTTTTGTATACACCTACGTATGTGAAAGTTTTTTTTTTGTCTGTGAACATCGATTCACAGACAATGTTTTGCACAAACAAAATATTGTCTGTGAACCGTATTCACAGACAAAAAAAAGCTTCACAAACATGGTGTGTATAAGATGTGTACAATGGTGTGTACATCAAGAATGGTTGAATTTTCAATCCATGCTTGCTCTGAACTCTGGATAATGCCACATACAATTGTCCATGACTAAAAACAGGTTTAGGCAGGTATAATCCAACTCTTTCCAGTGACTGTTCTTGAGATTTATTGATTGTCATTGCATATGAGACCATTATAGGAAATTGTCTTCTGATAAGTTTAAAAGGCCATGGTGATTGAGAAGGAGACATACACATTCGAGGTATGTAAATCTCATCTCCACCATAGCTTTCAGACATGATTCTTGCTCCAATGACATGATTTCCCAGTCTGGTGACAATCAATCTAGTTCCATTACATAGTCCTTCTGACTGGTCTATATTTATTAACAACATTACTGGAGTCCCAACCTTAAGTTGTATCCTGTGATTTGGGAGACCTGACGTTCTCAAGGAATTTAGAAACTCTGGTGTCAACGCTTCAAA